TAACTGATCTTCCCTCTGTATTTAGTGAGCAGTGGATGAAGTGAATGCTTTGCCTGGCTCTTGATTTTCTGACACTCTAAGGGAACTGATTCAGACCACACGGTAAAGCATATGCCAAATTATTTGCCAGTCTTATATGTCACAGAATGAGAGAATCCCATTTTTTGTTCCAATTTCAAAAGATGCATTATATTTTCAATATATTAGGAATGTACTGTTTGTCCTAAGTGGACAAACAATAATTAAGTGGCTCAAGCATGGACAGTTCTTGCCCTACACACAATGTACCTAATTCTAGAAGCTTCTTGACACAGTCTATCCTTTGATACGTGCAGGCCATGTAGAGTGGTGTTCCATGCTGAGAATCGTCTTGGTCAATATCAACATCATTAGCCAACAGAATTTCCATACACTCTCTGTGACCTGGAAAACAGAGAAGAAGCCATCTCCTCTTACTACTTTCTAGTAGGACACCTGACAAATACAAACTGCATATATAATATTAAATTAGAATATACAGAATAATGTGGAATAAACAAAAATATTTATCCCTGGGGACCAGATTGTCAGGAGCAGATTATTTTTCAATAAGTATTTAGGGATAAAAAATAAATTCAAGTCCACTTAGTACAAGCTGCACCCAAAATCCTGAATTTACCTCTCTTTACTGCTTCATGAATGGGTGAAGCAAGATGATTCCCTAGCTGTGCCTTGGCTCCAAATTCAAGCAGCATGTTGACACAAGCCGCACTGCCACTGCAGCAGGCATTAAATAGAGGAGTGATCCCATCAACAGTGACTGCATTGACCTGAAACAGCAAGACAGGTATACAGCAATCTCTTTTAAAAGGGCTGCACTTCATTGCATGCCATGCACATACTGACATTAAATGCATCATATGGATACATGGATCTTGTTTAATTTCAGAACCCTATTATTCACAGCATTCAGTTACATACCATAGGAGACACCGTTATCTTTCAAGTGCTGTCTTTTTTTATGAAGGACAGAACTACAGGACTCTGACAGTACCTACTATAAAAGTTCCTGCTGTGATCTGCTGAGAAAATTGATTTTTTTTCTAGGAAGCTTTTAGAATGTTAGGTTTCCAGCAGCCTCAAACTGAGAAGTAAAATTTCTGAACAAAATCTTATTTTCTGATTTTATGAGAGAAAGGGGGAGGGCCAGAGAGAAACATTAGAAAAATATTAACACCAAAAAAGGTGAAAGTGCAAAAGTGTGTGGCCTTCTGAGGGCTGAGCATGAAATACTTATCAGAACAAAAACACTGATATCACCAGAGATTGAAAGCCCCTTCCCTGCAACACCCTTCATGGGGCTGCACATGTAGGATTAGCTGTCCATGTTTTACATTACAGAGTGCCCCGTTGATGACCCAGTGTGACACAAACTGATTTACACTTTGTTGCAAGGTGAAGTGTCCAAATTCAAGAGGGGGAGGGAGAGGGAATAGCTGATGTTTTCTCTGAAAAAAATTCATTTAATCAAAAAAGGAAAAGACGTGCCTTTCTAGCTAGAAAATAATTTCAACAGAAAAATTTCAGCTAGCCCTAATCCCACCATTGAAATGGAGTTTAAAAGGGTTTAGGTGAATATTTTCCCTTGCCTACTTCAATGTAAGGCCAAGGCAATAAGACTGTCCTAATTCTGCACAAGAACAGCTGGAACCTCCAGTTCTCACGGGGTAGAGCTCCACAGCTGAGGTTCTGTACCCAGCCTGCGGGGGAAGGATCCCAGGCTCCTGGAACCCAATCTCAGCATATGGGGGTGGTGCCAGACCCAATCCTGGCACTTAGAGCAGGGTGAGGGTGGTGCCAGCCCTGGGGCCCAATCCAGCCCTGCCATTTGAGCTTTTGAACAACGGAAATGAGTTCTAAAGCTGGGCAAAGTTCTGTAAGAAGCACATTAACCTTCATTTTACCAGTGGTCAGATGCCCCTTTCAAATGAAAGACTCCCATAGGACTTTGGAACTCAAGGGGCACTAAGAGACATGCAGGCAGGCCCCCACTCTAACGCATGGTGCTTTACATAAAGCACCATGAGTTTGAGCACTCCCCCCTCCCAACCCGACAGATCTTTACCTGTTGGGTTGGGGAAGGGGGTGGAAATCAAGCCTGCCTGCAGGAGCCCAAGGAGCTTGCCTGAAGCTGAGGAGCCGGCCCCCCACCCCCCCAGCCCGGCCCCTTTTCCCTCCCATCTCCATGGCACTTCTCAGGAAGGGGGGAAGGAGCAAGCTGCTGGCTAAGGTTTGCCTGGCCTGAGCTGGAGAGATGGGGGAGGGGGTGGGGAGCTCCAATCCACCTCCTCTCCCAGCTCAGGCCAAGGAAACCCCAGCTGGCAGCTTGCTCCCCCTCCTCCTCCCTTCCTGCAGACAGCCCCAAATGCCCCACAAATGGTGCACTAAAGTGGAGAGCCTTCACCTGATCCCTCATTTGATAGGAGTTAATTTGTCATGCAATTGGCCACTTTAAAAGCATTCTGCAGCCATGTACATGTGTCACAGCATGTCTGTAGAGTGCTTTCAGGGGGCTGATTGAGCATCAAACGTAACTTCTGTCTGTGCCCAAGATGATAGCTGTCCCTTCCTACAAGTTACCTGCTCCCTTCAAGACAGAGTTCCTGTTCCTTTGGGGCCCCCTGTCCATCCTTGACCTCCCTTTTCCTGGTAAGCCTAAAACCCCCCATCCTATACAGCTTTTAAAACAGTAGGTGGAAGATGGTAAGAAAATGGTTGTAAGCACTCAGATTTGATTGATTTTATAAGGGGCAGCCAATCACACTTGAAGTGAAAGTAAAAAGACTGATAAAGAAGAACAGCTTCTTTCATTCTTTTCTCCCCTGGGTACTGACTTACTTGATAATAGAGAAAGGAACATTAGGAAGTCTAATTTCAGAGTAATGACTTAGTAAGAAAGACAATTAAACAATAAAAGCACTGAAGAAAAGCAACAGAATGGGGCATTCGTTATCCAAGAGGCTACATGTCTATTAACTTTAAGTATAGGGAGAAGGAAAAAAAAAAAAAAGAGTGCCTGAAACAATATTTTACATTCAAGAACAGGAATAGAAGAGTAGCAACCGAGATGACAAAAGTGACAACTGATTGTTCAGCCTCATGATATTCTGGGTGCTGGAAAGATATGCTGTTAATAAACCAAACCATTGCTTCACTGTCCTTTCTTTTTTTAAAGAACAGATCCCAAACAACTGGAAATGCAGTGAAGCTGAGGATCAATGTTTGTTTCTTGCTCTCTAGGGAATTAAAAGTTAATATACAGTGTGCACAATTATTTAATAAATATAGTTTCTCCCACAAATAGGCAGTTGTTAGATTGGAGTTACTCAGTTTGTTGCCCCTCAACATGTCAATAGCTCAGGACAGTAATTAGAGGAACCTGTAAGCAGGCTGAATGAAATATATTTCATTAAACTCCAATATTTCCATTTTAAAATGCATTTCACCTTAGGTCCAACTTGGGGGAAATGTTGCTATTTTATTAATAGATAAAAGTTTCATTTCTTTAAGCCCATTTATTTTTTATTTATATGCAAGTCTCAAACTAATCTCACAAAAAGCCATGGGAAATTCCAGTAACCATTCTGAAGAGAAAAAGATAAATCATTCACATAACGATCATTATGGCCTGGCTATTCCAATTTTTTATGTTCATCACAGTAAAGTTTCACAGAAGAAAAACAGAAGGGAATATATTGGAGATTAAAGCTACAACAAAGCTTTGAGATCCTTCAGGATGAAAGCTACCACTAAAGAATCTTAAACAATTTATTATTGGTGAAAACAGAGCATTTTTTCCCTTTTGAGTCAAGAATTTGTCTGTCTTGATATGTGCAGCTTGGAATCACTGTCAAAGATAACTGTATCACAGAGTACTGATCACCCCTTCAGAAGTTTGGCTCCATTCCTAGCATAGGCTGCATGACTAACTGCATGTTCTAGATTGCATCAACATATGCCAACTACGTATCATGTAGCTACCAAGCACAGGCTCCTATATTCTTTTTCAACTCTACAAACCCATGTAAATAACTATGATCTTTAACACTCACTCGAGCGCCATTCTCCAGTAAAACTTTTGCACAAGCAACATGGCCACCAAGGCAGGCCTCATGGAGAGCAGAAACTCGGTCTATTGTCACAAGGTTCACATTGAATCCCTGGAAATCAGAAGAGAGATATGAAAACAGGTGGATGTATGTGTTGGGGGGGGCGGCCCTCACCACAAACAAAACATGAAATGCAAATGTTGCTGTTCCAGAACGGCCAAGACTACATTCCCTGCTCTTGTGCAAATTCCTACTGAAATCAGCAAGAGTTATTGCAGAACATGCAAGAAACAGATTATTCTTTTTTGACACTACAGTCCATGACACCAACTAGCACCCCCAAATGTAGATTGGCAGCAAAAGGTAAAAGGAAGCTACTGTATGATACAGGAAACATCAGGAAACGCTGTACTTCTTTAGACTCCAATAGTGAATTAACTTCCTTATTTCTAGATACAAATAATAATAATAATAGCTCATAAGCTATATTTTTATCTGTAAACTAAATACAGCAATATTACTGGTCTAAGTTACATTATACTGTTTCCTTTTCCTGACTTTTCTAGAAAACACTTTAAACAAAAAAAACCAGACTGTTGAATAATAAACCCTTTCTAGGAATGTCTGAATAAGAGCTCTTTTATTAATTTACATTTGAACAGAAAACAGTGATTCTCACCCAGGGTGCCATGGCACACCAGGGTGCTGCAAGATCCTTTTAAGGGTGCCACTGTTATGTGTTAATATTGTGAGGCACTATTCACAAAATAAACTCACAAAATTCACAATTCACAAAATAAACTGAGAGATTTCAAATAGGAATCCATAGTGTCAAAATATAATTCTTTGCAACAGAAGAATTGCTCTATTCTTTTTCTTTCATTAAAAAACAAATGAAAACTAAAACTTGGCATTTTCAATGGGGTGCCTTCAGTGAAAACAACTATTCCAAATACTCACTAAGGGAAAACAGCACAAATGTGCTTGAATCCAAACCTGTGTGGAATTTTGTGAATACATTTTTCAGATTACAGCAAAGTCAAATAGAAAATAAAAATTTACACCCACATGCAAGAATACAACATGAGCCAACTCTACTATAGTATAACACCGATAACACATTCTGGTATTTCAAAATGCAGTTGTTGCAAATATCTGATGCAAAACACTGAGCAGCTCACACGATGGCAGCAGTGTGCTTTCCTCCTCCCCCCACCCCATAAGTAAATTCTATACAAAATTACTTTTATGTATAAAAAGGTATAAAAACTTGTGGACAGTCGAATGCTGGGAAATTGGCCAGCTGCAATCCACTTATACGATAAGCAAAAACAGTCATAATACTCTGTAGCATAACCATTTAAAATAGAAAAAGCAAATATATTTAAGTAATAGCTAAGCAATCACATTGATATTAAAACATGACATTGAGAACCTCTCTGGCTTTAGGCATCAGAAGGGGAATAGGCAAGATTCCTTTTGCACTGGTAGCTTATCATCTTAGTTATCCTTTTTTTTGTGTTCAAGTTTGCTACACAGTATCTTTATAAGAAGAAAGGTTTTCTACAAATCCCTTGTATGAAGAAAGAAATGACAGCAGTGATATAGCATTAATTAAGCACATTCCTCTAACATAGAAAATGCAGCAATCTAAAAGACAGGAAAATATTTTATCAGAGTAATTCCTTTAATCATCAAACATTCTTTGAAGACTCAGGTATGGGATGTGAAAGTAGCTTTCCCCATAGCTACATTTATCCAACACTTCCCATTTTTATAAAGGAACTGAAAACAGGGTCTTATACTTTTAAAAATACAGATATTTGTTAAGGTTTCTCAGTGGGTATTGGCAATAGCTAGTCTTTTGAAAATGAAGTGCTTTGTTTTCTGGCTTTCATGGGCAGACTTTTTTAAAATCACCTCACCTCCAATTCCTTGGAGGTTGTTTCTAAATCACTCAGGTGCTTTTGAAAAATCTTCTATGTGACTTTAAATAAAGCTACATGTTTAATATTAACAGAAGGGTAAGTATCTGAGAAACAGTGATCATCTGATATAATACTGCATGAACAGCTTTACCCTTTCATTTATCTTGCTGCTGTGGATCAGCTCTGTCCCACTCTCTATAGATTATTATTCCCTGCCTAACCATATAGGAGCCCACTCTTCTAGCACTGAAATCCTCAAAAATAACAAATTCAGATACAACCACAGGTAAAACAAGCAGTACTGTGGTCCTTATCATAGCTGAAGCATCCTTGTGACCCAGCCAGCCCCGGTGTCTACATGTGCATTGCTGTGCACTCAAGAACACCACTGTCAGATAGGTACTTCTGTTTACAAGTGCTAACCTATGACAGAGTCAATTAGTTTACCGCAATCTAATAGGACTGTACACCTAGACACCAAGACTTTACTGCAGAGGTAATTAGGCAACACCACAGTAAACATCTCATGTAGATGCATCCACTGAAGGGGCAGGGAGTTCATTTTTCAAATTAATTACCTGAAGGTGGAGGCTTGGGACCAAATGGTCAATAAACAGAAGAGAATCAGTTTTCAAATTTCAAAGAAGTGGTTGTGGTACCCTTTAAATAACCATATACAAGTAAATGTCAGGAGCTGGGGATTTCTTGGTATTCACTCCAGTCGTTTTAGAAATCCATCATTTCAGCCTCAGGCTCACTTATGCTCCACACAAATCCAGGGTCCCCCTCAACTTTAATGTGGAAAATCACTGTATTTCTCACATAATGGGCATAAGGAAGTAAGTGTGAGCATGCATCATTTTGGGTCTCTGTCATGTATCTCCCACATTTATCAATTGGCAGGTGGAGAAATAAGATTAGATCTCAGGAGATGCATCTACACAAGACATATACTGCAGAGTAGATTAATTAGCTCCACACTAAATATCTTGCGTCTATATGTTCGGCCTCATTAGGCCACAGGAAACTAATTAATTCCGCAACAGGGTAGTACTTGTAAATACAAGTACTATCCTACTGCGGAGATATTTACTATGCTGCAACACACATGTAGATGTTGACCTGAGTGTAAATTGTACCTGGTCTGCCCAGCCAGCAGGGGGCTATATTCCTGCTTGCTGCCTAGGCACATAGCTTGGCAGATGTAGGAGCCTTGTGTCCCACCCAGCTCCTCCACCACCCGATGCAGTCACCTGTTGCCCAGGCCTGACCCCCTGGTATCTCCTGCCAGCCTGGGGTTGCTTCTCAGTCCAGGCCACACTGCCACCGCCAGCTTGAGCCCTGGCCTAGCCCCCATGCCCCCTGCCAGCCTGGGGCTGCCCTGGCACCTGCTGACAGAGCCAGGAGCTGCCCCTGGATGCTGCAGGGGGGCAGAGCAGGGCAGAAGCAGCCCCTGACTAAACTGTTCCTCCTGGGCTCAATTTGCTGCTGTCCTAAGAGCATCTGAAGCTAGGAGCAGTGTAGACTGCATCTGGGAGTAGTTTACTGCAGTGCGAATTGCTCCACAGTTTATTCAGTCGCATTAATTGCACATATAGGTGCACCCAGGATGAGGTCTCTTGGATAGCTGTAGTAGTGGGCACTGATAGAAAAGGCACCAAAAATCTAATAATCCTAACCTGTCCCATTGTCCTTATGCACTATGCCATATTGCTTCCTATCTCCTGTTCACTGCCTTCTGAATTCTTGGCTTCAATTGCAGTGGAGACTACCCAGTCCCTTATGGGACTACCACCCACCCAACTTCTATATGCTCCCCAATGTATGCCTTTCTAAAAGGAGTTAGTCTCTAAGGTGCCACCTTCTGCCTCTCCCCAACTAGGAACATACCTGATTGTTTTATAAAACAGTATTTACATTTAAACCTATACATAAATTATTTTAATGCTATCTGATAAAAATAGGATATTTTGCCTCCTGTATCCCATGTAGCCTGTTTTTATGGTTAGTCCTTGAAAAGGAAGCCAAAAGTTGGAGAAAATCTGGAATCAAAAAAAAAAAAGATGGCATCTAATGAATTTATTTCTGGTTTCTTACCTGTGCAATCAAGGTTTTCAAAGATAAGAGGCGCCCTTGGAATGCAGCTTCATGAAGAGGTGATCGATCCGCCCATGAGCCTAACACAGCACAGGAGTTAATCCAAATATAAAGTAAAAACATAAAAACAGAGATGCAAACTGTTCCAAATGAACATAGGAGATATTTTTATACGCACGCACGCGCGTGCACACACACACACACAAAACTGCCTACTAAATTCATTTCAGTGAGAGAAGATAAACCTTGAGCCCTTTTGGAATAGCAGGGCACTTCTTTAGGTATTTGGAAAAAAGGTTCATGGGCAGAAACTTTAAATGCAGCCAAGTAAGCTAAGAGCACAAATCCAGTCCTGCTGAGACTGTGTTACTTGAGAAAATTCTGCCTTCTGATCCTAACTTTAAAATCCGATTGACGATAGCCTTTAATTGGTAACTTCAGCGGAGTGCCTAGCAAACCAATTTAATATGCTCACAGCAATTTTCTCTCTGACTTAGCAAATAAGAATTATGAATGTCTCTACCTTTCCCTCCAACCAGGTTAGCAGATATTGGTATTATACCTCCTCACCCAGGAGTTTCAAAGAAATGCTGCCCAGTGCTCAATTCCTGCTTTTCTACATTATTTTGAGCAATTCATCTCAAGTAAACTCCCCAGTGAGAACTGCGGGATGTCTTTTTTCTTTGTCTGTCTGTCGTTCTCCTTAATTTTCTGCTTGGTTGAATGACTATACAACCTATAAGTAGTAGCTCCACTTAGAAACATTATTTTAGTTGTAAAGATTCAGAATTTGCTGGGGATGTGTTTCCATTTAAGACAGAATTATGTCAAAGTCCAAGCATTTTTCCCGGAGTTAATAGCTACCACAATAAGATGGAAAGGAACCTGTATCATTATTTGTCCTAGTTCCATCTAAGGTTTCTTTTTTATAGAACCCTTTTCCTTAACATCTGCATTCTTATGTACTTCAATGTACTAAAGCTCACATTTTCAGGAGATAGGGAAGTACAATTATCTCCATTTTGCAAATGGGGAACCAAGATGCAAAGGAATCAGTGAGAGTTACATCTTCCTAATATATCTGTGGATCTGGGCTTAAATTTTTTGGCCAAGATCACACAGTGAAATAAGTAACTGAACCTAGGTCTACAGCGTCCCAGGCTAGCACCAGGACCACTGGCCAATTCTTCCTTTATACTGGGTCCCAATGTTTCAACTGGAACAAGGATGAAAATAGTAACAGATTAAAAATGCATGATCAGCAGTGGCCAGATGCACAATATGAGAAGGAAAGATGGGAAATCCATTTACATTGAAGGGGCTGGTCAGAGATGCATAGGTGCAGAAAAGCTAGAGCTATGCATTAAAATCCATGGATTAAAAGCAGATTTATTATTTATGTTACTTTCTTCCACATTGTTTGTTGCTGTTGTTCAGTGTTTTGCTCTGTGGTTTTCGCTTTTTCATAGTTTATTCAACAGAGAAAGGCAGAACACAGAGTAAGCCTTTGTTCATTACCATTACTGCTTATTTTTTTTGGCTGGCATTAAGCAATCCTCAAATGGTTTCCCCCCCCCCCCCCCCCCACTCC